GGTGAAGCTCGGTTTCTTGAACGATGGCCCTGAACGCTTGGACTCGGCGTTCGTCCGGGCCGTTTCAGTCACGGTTTGTAACGCTCGAGACATCTTCAAGTAGCCACATATAATATTTTTCTTCTTTCAGTTTATATGTTTGTAGGTAACTCTCCTGCCGTTGCACTTTTACGGGAGATCTTCATGAGACGCAGAGACAAAGGGTGATTCTCAGCTACTGACACAAAAAGGAGAAAATACACATTGGTCTAGCAAAAGCTGTGTGCAGTCACGTCCACAGAGACTTTTGAGAGATGAACTCTTCCTTGACTGACATAAGATCCTTTTTATTCATCTCTGTTTGTAGCAAATGTAGTAATTTTTTGTTAATATAGTGCCTAGTACGCTGGGACCCAGAGCCCTTCAGGGATCCGAAGGTACTACTGCAATAGAAATAATAGTAGTAATTATCCTGCTTTGAAGGAGCAGAAGAATAAAGCTTCTTCAGTTACTCGTATGATAGCTTGATAGCTCACTGAAAAGGAATAGTTCTTTAATTGTGGATCAGCATTGCTTATCTTTCCTGTGTATTTGCTTTTATTGTCACTGCTACATTTTGTTGCCGTAGATTTTTGTGCGACAGAGGCTCTGTCTCTAGGTATATATCTAGTATTCAGGTTTCATTTCCTACTTATCCTTTTTTTTTTTTTTTTTAAAAAAAAAAGTTCAGTTTTCCTTAGATGAAGCTGCCAGAGTTGAAGCACTTTACTGCCCGTTGCCCAGCTCAGCTGGGAACTGACGTTGCTCACAGATACCTGTATTGTTTCCCTGCTATTCTTCACTGTGCCTTAACGTGTGTTGCTGTTGGCACAGAGTAGTGAAATGTAGTGAAAGACTATGCCATAATCCCTAAACATGCTGAGATAGGGTTAATGTTATGGAGAAAGTAAAACTGACTCTTTTTTTTTTTGTAAGTATTTACCTGTGAAAAATACTATGTTTTTTGACTGTAGTTCCTTTTATGTCAATGGTCCCGGTGAGAACTGGGACTGCATTAGCAGTCAAGAAGCTGGTTGTCAATATACCTATTTAGAGAGAGAAAACAAAAAAAAAAACTTGCTGCTGATTAACTTCTAGGTATTCTTTCAGTGGTTTGCTTATACTACCGCAGAACTGAAATAATACTTAGAAAATACAGAAGGCATCTTGAAAGCTCTGTGGAAGCGTATTAACTAGTGAAGGCTGGATGATGGACAGTAGGGTGTATTATCCCCAGACTGCAAACGAGGATATAGGAGTGACTCTTCGGCCGCTACCGTTACGACTTACTGTTGCACTCACGATCCCGGCCCAGGGCTTTGGCTTGCGCTTTTGCAGCTCGCTGTGCGAATTTTTTTTTATTGAGCTGGATTGGGTCTGAGCCCCCTCGCTGAGGCTGCGAGTAGAGCGAGTCCTGGTAACAGGTTGGACGCGCATCAGGCTCGAGGTCCAGGTGCGTTCTTCAGCTGAAAGGTGTCACGGCAAAACGCTCCTAAGCGCTCTCTGATCCTTGTCTTGCGCGCTCGATTTTTATTAACGTGCCAAACTGAGGTTGGTGGGTGCCTCCGTCTGAGAGACAGCAAATAACACGAGGGTCCGCGCAGGCAGAAAGCAGCGGGAGGCCGCTTCCCTCGTCCCCGCAGCGTTAGCGCTGCCGCCCCGGGGGGCTTAGGAACGCGTTTGCTTTTGGCAGCCTCAGTGCTGGGCTCTGCCCGGAAAACGCCTGAGCCCACCTTTTTGAAAAGGCAGCAGGACCGCGAGCGTGGCGTTGGCGCTCTCCGCCTGGGCTGCGCCTCAGAGGCCTGCAGCGGTACCGCAGCTTTTACACTTTCTCTTCCTCAAACAACCCCTTTTTTTTTTTGGTTTTCCTCCCCCCCGCGAAGGGAGGGGCTGCTTCTCGGACGGCATCTCCGGAGTGGAGGTCCGTGCGGAAAATTCCTCTTACAGGTCAAGAACGAAAATGGTTTCCAGTTGGTTAACAGTTTTTAGTCAGTTAGAGCTGTTACGGTTTTTACCGCCTGTTTGCAGCGTTGCAGGTGTTTGTGGCCGGTGCAGGTTTGCCAGGGCCGTCGGGACGCCGCTCGGCAGCGGCGCGACGCCGGCCCTCGCCCGGTTGCGGCGGTGAAGAGCTGTTAGGCTGTCTCGAGTAAGCCGCCTTCCCGCGAGTTGGCCCTGCCG